GGGTTGTTCTGCTGAAGGTGGTTTAGTGGTGGGTTTAAATGCGGTTTGCTGCTGGGATGTTTTATGGGTTGACTGGTCGATACGCTTGCATTCATTGTTGATTTTTTTTTTTTTTTTTTTTTTTTTCAAGGTGTATTTTTGTTTTACTTTATTCTTGTTTGCCTGTATTATTACATGAACTGAGTATTGCATCTGTGTCTTTCACTTCCCTTTCCTCTGAACCGCCCTCCTACTTTTCTCCCACCGTCCCTTTATACCGCCTCCCTATCCCTCTCCCTCTACCTTTACCTCCTTCCCTCCTTCCCTCCATCCCTCCATCCCTCCTTCCCCCTTTCGTTTCTCCCCTCCTTGCCTCTCCCTCTCCCTGTTTCTCCCTTTCCCTTTCCCTCCTTCTCCCATTCCCTCCCTCCCATCTCCCCTCCTTCCCTCCGTCCCCTTTCCTCCCTCTCCCTCTCCCTCTCCCTCTCCCTCTCCCCCTCCCTCTCCATCCCCTTCCCTCCCTCCCTCCCTCCCTCCCTCCCTCCCTCCCTCCCTCCCTCCCTCCCTCCCTCCCTCCCTCCTTCCCTCCCTCCTTCCCATCTCCGCTGTTTCCCTTTCTCCCTCCTTCCCTCCTGCTAAACCAGTTCCCTCCCCCGCAGGCTGCTGATCGAGGCCATCGCCATGACCGCCTGTGACCTGTGCGCGTCCGCCAAGCCGTGGGACGTGCAGGTCGAGACGGTCAAGGTCATCTTCGAGGAATTCTATGAGCAGGTCAGTGGCCTACCCAGGGGATTCTTGCTCGGGGGATATACACAAAGGCAGACACATACACATACATATTCTCATACGCATAGGCATACGCATACGCTTACTCACACTCACACTCACACACATATTTTGAATTCAACTTAACATGATCATTTTGATGCTTCGTTGTATATTTTCACATGAGTTAACTGTATTTATAAATTGATAAGTCAGTCGTACTGCAGCAACTTTTAATCAGTTCTGTTTCTACAACACCGATGTATTCAGTTATTGCAACATTTGTCTTGGGTTTCGATGAAAAAAAAATATGATATTAATAATTAGACGCTCAAGAAAAACCCAGACGGTCAGAGAATCACGAAGAAGACTATTACTCATGACTTCGTTCCTCCGAGAGCGGACGGGAAGCTGATGTCTCCGAGGAAGTCCTTTCGGTCAGCTAAGAGACCGAGTCAGCAGTGCATTGCAAATTATCTTCTGTGATCGGACAAACGTTAATACTTCGAGTAATAACTTTTGAAACACAGTTGGGCAAATTATTACAGTGGTTTGTTTGTTTGTTGCGTCGAGTTCGACAGCAGGTCAACGGGATTAAGAGAAGTAGCTCAGTTGATCAAAAGGTCGCCGGCTGTTGGTTATGGGTGTGTTGCTGAAAAGAACCCGCATTTGACCAGAAGTTGCAAGTGGTCTTAGAAATGATTAGTTGTATGGCTGGTAGTGTTGGATTCATGTTGAGCAAATTATGAATAACATGACGAAGGGAAGAACGAGAAAACACACGAATATACCTCTATGTATCTCTTGTCTTCCATACATTGACGAAGCAAAAAAGCGAAAAGGCCTTCGGCATATTTGCGCGTTTTCTTCAGCAGTGTTTTTTCTTCTCTTCGTTATTCTATTTACATGTCTGGTAGTACTCTTGCCAAGTGATGGTACTGACGAACTTGTGAGACCATCTCGACCACTTAATCATGACAGGTGGCTTACGGAAGCGAAATGCCCATTGCGACTTGACAAGCTAGAGAGGCTTACCAGGTCATCCCCAGTGCTAAGACGCCTGGTTCCATTCATTGATAGTAACTGCTCCCGGTGATTGAGAGGGAACCAAAACAGTTCGCACAGGATGGGGTAGAAAATTTCCTTTTCATGTCGATTGTTGTCTATGAAAATGTGGGCATACTCACTGACGATCAGGTTGATTGAAACAAAGGTGAAATGGTATGATGACAAAATCCTTAGTTAAAGCATTTGAAAAATCGACAAAGGATAAACTTAAGAGCTGAGAAATACACGGACTTGGCAGATCCGTCTCCTGTCATCGATCCTACTCTGCTGAAGAATAAATGCGTGTACATACATACTACACACACACACTCAAATATGTGTTTGAGTATGATTGAACCATTTTTGGCTGCGACTCAAAATACGGTCCAAATTGACCTTGGCGACCCATATACTTTCATAAACACTCTTATTTAGAATTCTATTACTAGAATACTATAAATTGTCTTTGTCTCTATAGTTTGCTTACGCTTAAACGTTAATGACTTACGTGCTCTATACTGGGTAATACTTTGATAACATGTGTGTCTCATATTCTCGGCGACCTATTGTAATCCCCGTCCCACCCAGTCCTACCCCTACCCCCCCCAGTGTGCGCCCCCACTAAGGCCTCTCCCCCCCGCAGGGCGACGCCGAGAAGGCCGTGGGCAAGAGTCCGATCCCGATGATGGACAGAACCAAGACGGACGAG